AAACCTGCCTCATAAGAAAAACAAAAGAGGCCTGTTACCATAGAAACTATTTGAGTGGCTTGAATGTTTCAAAGGAAAGCAGCGCTTGTAACAAGGAAAAAAGTCTGAAGTCCTTGCTAGGACCTCACCTGTCAGCTGCTGGAAGTCTACAGTGTGAGCAATGAGACAGTACCGGCCAGCAAACCCATACTACAGAGACCTCAGCATGACAATTCAACTCCTAGTCCAGTGATGGCGAACCTATGACACGCGTGTCAGAGGTGACACGCGAACTCATTTTTTTGGTTGATTTTTCTTTGTTAAATGGCATTTAAATATATAAAATAAATATCAAAAATATAAGTCTTTGTTTTACTATGGTTGCAAATATCAAAAAATTTCTATATGTGACAGGGCACCAGAGTTAAGTTAGGGTTTTTCAAAATGCTGACACGCCGAGCTCTAAAGGTTCGCCATCACTGGCCTAGTCCAACCCCCGCTCCCTGTAGACCAGATCCATAAAAGTCTTCAAGTGACTTGTCTAGAGACATAAATAAACTAGTTAGTGAGGATGCTGTGACGCGTCCAGACTAGCTGTTCTTCCCAATATACCAGGATGAGTCTTTGGACCCCACCCTCAAAAAGCTCCACGTATTGTGGAGAAGGGGGAATAGAAAGAAAGAGATGGATATTAAAGTGAAAGACAAAGCAGCACGGATAAGCAAGGCTTCCACTGAGGCAAATCCTGAAGGTACTCACAGCTGGAGGCTGTCAGCTAACTACTCCTTGCGCCTGAAAGGCAAATTGTTTCTGGTGGGCATTCAGGGTGGCACACATCCATGGTTACCTGTGCATTAACAGGAGCACTCTTATTTTGAAGGGGTGGTCAGTTAGAGATGTATGATCTATAGCAGCTCTACCTTGAATCTGGAGTTCAGGGAGGTCCTGCTGAGTTTATGGCCTCTCAGCAGAACTCCAGCACTCAGGGCCTTCAGCTCTGCTCATGAACATCTTCCCACAAGTGCATAAACTGTACAATAGGTATCATTGTGTTTTAAGCTATTTTAGGGAGAAATGCCTTGTTTGGGACGTTTGGCAATGGCCTCTGTTGAACGGGGCACTGATTCCTACTTAGAACAAATAAAAACAAATGTCTATACAGAAAGCACATCATGCCTCACAGCAAGAGCCATGTGCTCTTGGCAAAGTGCTTCCAACATATTCAACCCAGAACTCAGCAAGGGCCAGTTTCCTCACCTAACCCTGGTTGCTTATTCACAGAACTCTAGAGAGGCAATAGCTGTTGATAAACTGTGGGGGAAGGGAGGATTCCCTCAAGGTTAGCAACCCAAACTAAAAAAGATAGAAAAGGAAGATTAGAAGAAGAGAGTAAATAATAAAGGCTAAATATTGCAGAAGAACAAGCCTCGTGTAGGACTTGTGCTTCAGTCTCCAGCTCCAGCGTGGGGGATGAGGCAGAGTGGTTTTTCAAGACACACTATGCACTAAACTAAAATTTAAACTGCGCTGGTGAGGAGATGGTGATGGAAGATTAGGAAACAAATGCAGGCAAGAGGCTGGCACATCATATAACCTCACAGCCACGGTGAGGAAAGACAAGGGAAAATCAGTCCAGTGTTTTCAGAAGGAAGAGACCTATTCGATTTTAGTAAAATCACACTGGCACTAAGGATCGGAGCAGAATAAGCTAGGAGGCAAGGCAGACAGCTGAGAAGTTACTGTACTTCAGGGGAGAGGAGATTAGGAGTCAAAACAAGAGAAGATAAGACAGTCTAAAGGTATTCGGGAAGCAAGCTCCACTGAATTTTAACTTCATGGTACAGACAACTCTGAATATTAGTGTCTTCTTTTTATTCCAGAACAGTTAGACAAAATCTTCTCTAAGTCAACATGGACTATTTCTGTTTTTAAAAAAATTTCCTCCTGCCTTCAGTTCAAAAACTACCTTCCCCATAGTCAACTGTCGTTTCAAGTCTCTCTGCCAGAGACTTCCATTCGCTGCTAGCACAGACCATGGGCTCCTTGGGGGCCAAGACCTGGCCAACAAGTTTTGCTTCCCCTTTAACAATTGGCACAGGGTCATTCATATAGCTGCTGTTGGATAAATACACACACAGTACATCTTCAGTTCTAAGGATTTCTTAAAATAAGGAAATGAAAATACAATAGATGTAAATGTAAGAATATACAACATTCTACAGGGTGAGTTACTGCCTCAACAAGGACAAAACGGGTCTCTTCTAACTTCAATATGATGTTCATGATAAACTTGGAAGTCATTATGCTAAGTGAAATAAGCCAGTCATGAAGGACAAATATGGCATGTTTTCACTCATATGAAGTACCTAGAACAGTCAAATGAATACAAAAAATAGAATAGTGGTTACCAAGGGCTCAGAGGAAAGGGGAATAAGGAGTTAGTTGGTTAATGAGTTTCGGTTTGGGATGATGAACCATTCTGGAGATGGATAGTGGTGATGGTTGCACAAAAATGTGAATATACTTAATGCTAATAAACCACATACTTAAAATGGTAAGTTTTCTCTTATGTGCATTTACCACAATAAAAGGCAAATAAACAAAAAGAATATACAGCATTCAACTATATGCACTTCGACACAGTTGCAAATATATAGAAGGGATCACAATTCAGATGTTAGCCCAGATGGAACATAATTGTGTTGTATTATTTTTGCCTAATTGTTCAGAAAGGAGTTAAAATAAATGTGTATCTCTGAAATGTATATATTACTGTAGTTACAAATAAAATTACTTTATTTTTTAAAATTATTTTTGAATATATTTTTATTAATTTCAGAGAGTAAGGGAGGAGAGAGAGATAGAAACATCAATGATGACAGAGAATCATTGATCAACTGCCTCCTGCACGACCCCCACTGGGGGTGGAGCAGACAACCTGGGCATGTGCCCTGACGGGGAATCAAACTGTGACCCCTGGTACCTAGGTGGACGCTCAACCATTGAGTGACTCCAGTTGGGCTAAAATTACTTTAAATGAAAGGAAATATTAAGAATTTATAACTGCAATCTTTAAAAGTACAAGCCCTAAAAACACATATTTAAAACAGAGCTGAAAAGTTTCCAAACAGTAAAACCATTAAAACAGACTTGCATTTATAAACTATAAATGACCACAACATAACTAAATGTGCTTAGACAAAATATATAAAATTTTGGTTTTCAAACATCTCCTTCAAAAGAGTAAGTGTGGGAGAGGTTTGTTAGTTATTACTCTACCTTACAATTGAATGTAATTTAGTTAAATTTTTTGCAATCATTCATGAATTCCCCTGATCAAAAACTTTGTGAAATATCCTTAAATCAGGGATACGAAGAAATGTCTCTAAACTTAACCTACGTGGCTTTCTCTTTGCTAGAATTCAGGAAGAAAAGCAGAATTCCAATGTCTTACAATTCTCACATATTAATTGGGTCTTCGTATGAAATTCTAACAGAGGCATGAAAGCCTGAGGGGGCACAATGTCATTTGGAACATGAATGCTATAGTCACACACATTTGCGTTCCTGCTGTGACCTCTCACAAGTGACTTCACCTGAGCCTCCTCAGTTCCACCTCTTTAAAGTGCGTATGAACTCCAAGTTGACTGCAGGACCACACGAGGTCACACGTGTACAACCTGGCCTGCCTTCCCAGGGGCTTGGTCCCCATGCGCTTCCCTTTGACACCTAAGACTTTCATTCACCAACACCCAGCATGTCACCACCTCGATGCACACCAAGGGGAAACTCACTTGATCCTGACAATCAGGAAAAAGTACTTCAAACATTTTTGTTTCCTATAATTTGTCAAATTACTTGCTAAAGGCCTACAATCTGATTTGTGAGCACATTAAGCTATTGAAACTCCTCACTGATAACATGTACAAATATCTATAGCACTTCATATATGCTGGGCATTTCTCTTAGCACTTCATGTGTATGAACTAATTTAATCCTCACAATAATCCTATAAGGTGCATGAGTACTATTTTTTTAATAGATTTCAGAGAGAAAGGGAGAGGGAGAGACAGGTAGAAACATCAAAGATGAGAATCATTGGTCAACTGCCTCTTGCACGCCCCCTACAGGGGATCCAGCCCGCAACCTGGGCACCTGCCCTGACCGGGAATCAAACTGTGATCTCCTGGTTCATAGGTCAACGCCCAACCACTGAGCCACACCAGCTGCATTGGATGAGTACTATTAACAGCCCAATTTTACAGATGAGGCAACTGAGGTATAGCTGGTAAGTAACAGGATCTGAAGCCAGGCTTTCTGGCTCAAGTCTATGTCTCATGACCTCTTCCTTTTGTTCCTTGCTCCTTGTTTCTTTAAAACCATTTTTCCCAATGCTTACACTCTTGAATCTCCTGAGTCTAATACCTCCGGTTAGGGCTATCTCTGCCGCTTCTTCTCTCTCTTCTTCCTATCTGAATGCAGACAACTCCTGAAGTTTAGGCCACCTATCTCCTCCCATTTGTTTAAAGAGCTCAGGCACTCTCCTAACCTCACTGTCAGCTTTCTTCTGATAATTCACAAATTTAAATCTCTAGCCTTAAACCATCATGCCCTCTCTTGGCCTGTTTAAGTCACCCCCTTTTCCTCTGCACACAGGCAAATTCCAACCACTCTTATTTAAAAATCTGTCTAGGTGCTTTTAGTGCATAACAAAACACCCCAGAATGTAGTGGTATATAACTATTTTATTATGTCCTTGGATTCTGTAGGTCAGGAATTCAGACAAGGCACGGAGGATATGCCTGGCCTGTACTCCACAATGTTTGGGGCCTCAGTGGGGCGACCAGTCAGCTGTGGGCTGGAATCACCTGGAGGAACCTTTACTCACATGTCTAGTGCTTGATGCCAGCTGTTGGGTGGAACCTCAGCAACAGCAAACAGGCAAAGCACCCACATGTGGCCTCTCCATGTGGTAGAGCTTCCTCACAGTATGGCACCCTCAGAGTAACTGAACATTTTACCTGGTGGCTCAGGGCTCCAAAGTGTCCCACATTCTTAACACACTTTCCAATTAATGCAATCCCACAGTTCTTCCTCACTATAAAGGAAGGAATATATTAAGCATCAGTGCTTTTTTATATACCTTCTTATTCTTTATAAGATTCCAGGCAAAGCGGGTATTACTAACTTTACAAAAAGGGAAAGAGGACAATTAAGTTTAGAGATATGCTAGTAACTATACAGATAGTTAAGTAACAAGGTCACATTCAAATCAGGCTCCTTCTATATGCAATAAAGATTACAATGAAGATCAACCTTGCAAAATATATATTATCTAACTATATATTATCTAACTATATATTTTCAGTAACCAGATTTTTTTTTGCTGACTCATCATTAGGAAGATTGTATTTCTTTTATTCCTAGATTTGAAGCAACTTTGTCACAATACTTTTAATTTATCTATTTGAAAATACATGTATATACTTCAAAAATCAAAAACTGAAAATACAGTGAAAAGTTTTGCTTCTATTCTTGTCTGCCATCTGCCCAGTTCACATCCCTAGTAACATGTAGCAGTTCTTAAGGCCAATATAAACATTTTTTGTCCACCTCCCCCCTTCCCCCACCTCTTTCCTACAAAATATGTATAGCTCTGCATCATTTAGTCACTCCAAGACTATACATTTAGGTTCCATTCAAGGCTGTGGTAACTAACCTTGAGCATAGATCATTTCATGTATGCAAGTATCTACACAAGATAAATTCCCAGAGGCAGGATGTTCAAGTAGGAAATATACATCTGTATAGATGTTACCAAATTATCCTCCATACGGATAGTTACACTCTCAACAGAAATCTTTGTTTCTCTATAACTCCAATAGCTTACTGCATTATCAAATTTCTGGACCTTTGACAATCGAAAAAAGGAAAAGCTTTGGGGTGGGGGGATCCTGTGTGCATGTCTTTTTGAGGGTGAGGCCAGGCATCTTTCCATGTGTTTCAGTCATTCATATTTACTTTCCCATGAACTGTCTGTTTACCTGTCTTGTCAATTTTTCAATGGTGTTTTTGGCCTTTCACACTAATTTATAGCATCTCTTGTTATCATCCTGTTGTCTACAATATGAATAGGAATATTACTTCCCAATTTGTCATTTGACTTCATTTGTGTTGATATTCGATGTGTGAAAATTCTTAGCTTTTATATAGTGAAAGTTACAATAATTTTCTTTAATGGCTTCTAGATTGAGTCTAAGTTAGGTGTATCTTTGCTATAGAATTAGTATTAAAGAAATTAAAAATTTGCCCTAGCCAGTTTGGCTCAGTGGATAGACCATCAGCCTGCAGATTCCGGTCAAGGGCACATGCCTGGGTTGCAGGGCTCGGTCCAACGTGCAGGAGGCAGCCAATCAATGATTCCCTCTCATCATTGATGTTTCTATCTTTCTCTTCCTCTCCCTTCCTCTCTGAAATCAATAAAAATATATTTTTAAAAAAGAAATTAAAAATCTTATCTATTTTAAGTTTTATCTTAAATACTTTTAAACTTACCAAATAGTTGCAAAGAAAGCCTAAAGAGTTCCCATATAGCTTCCTTATAGAACTCCAGTTAATAAATTCAGAAATAATTAAAGAACCAAAAGTCATTATTTTGTAACTTCTAATCAGTATTGAATCTCGACAATCACCAATGGCTACTAAAACCAGTAGGTAAAAGGCTGGTTAAACTGAGATGGAACAGCCATAGAGTAGGGTGAGTTGGTCCATGACTGCCTCCCATTTACCTGCCTTTCCCTTTTGAGAAAAATTCAGCCTTGACTTCCATCCAAGGTTGCAGTCTTGCCCCATCTCCAAAGGTCCACCATTTCAGCAAAACAGATGACAACAGTAAAACTTTCTGGGAATGAGCCTTCCTAACACCATGGGACATTATCCAACCAAGAGGATGGTCATTCATGCAGCCTTCAGACTGATTTATGACCAAAAGGTAAAAGTGTGGATGACAAGGGGGCCACATACTAAATCTGACAGGCTCAAAGGTGGCCTGCACAGTGGGCCTTACAAACTCAGAGACTGAAAGCAACCACATAGGATGGTCTGAACATAAATATTCCTAACTATAAGTGGGTCATCATCGGCCTCTATTGTCTTTTTGCATCTAAGATAATATACCTTTGAAATGTCAGAGTAATCTTTTCCAGACCCCTCAGGGCACAGCCACAGCGCCAGAGCACAAGACCAGAGAATCCCTCGTTGTTACCTTGACCCCAGGATACCATCTCTATGTGCTGTCCATGTCAATTATCTTCTATATTGTACCCACCAATGTAAAAGAAGTATATGTCTCTCCATTTTACTTTCTATCCAATCCCAGAGGTTTCCTCACTTTGATTTTTCCTACACCCTTAATCTACCACCAATGGTAGATTATTTCTTTCCCTATAACTCCAATAACTTAATGCAGTTAAAATTTCTGGAATTCACATAACCCTCTTTTTTAATATATTTTATTGATTTTAGAAAGGAAGGGAGAGGGAGAAACATCAATGATGAGAGAGAATCATTGATTAGCTGCCTTCTGCACGCCCCCTACTGGGGATCGAGCCT